CCACTAAGGCTACATACTTTACCATCACAGGATCAACGACTTCGCAAATAGAGTTGATCTGGTTTACCACCAGTTGGGAGTCACTGTACACTTGAATTGCGCTGATTTTCAACTCTAATGCTAGTTGTAGGCCGAGTAGTAAAGCTTCATACTCAGCCATATTATTTGTCGCATTAAAGTTGAACTTCAAAGCATGTTCGCTTCGATAACCGTCTGGACCAATCAAGAGAGCTCCAGCCCCTGAACCTTTGCTACTAGATGCCCCGTCAACATATAAGGCCCATTCATTGAGTTCTAGAGTAGAGGTTGAGGGACATGGGGTGCATTCAACAACAAAATCTGCTAATGCTTGAGCTCGGATGGTCGACCTCTGCTGAAACGTGATCTCAAACTCCCCCAGTTCTACTGCCCACTTAATTAACCTTCCAGAGCACTCTGGTTTCTGCAGAATCTGCCGGAGGGGTTGATCTGTGAGGACGATGATTGGGTGTGACTGGAAATATGGTCTCAACTTCCTGGCCGAAGTGACAACTGCTAGTGTTGCTTTCTCAGCTATAGGATATTTCAGCTCTGCTCCGTGCAGCATGCTGCTGATATAATAAATTGGTTTCTGCTGCCTAGCTTCTTCTCTCACCAGAACTGAACTAATGGCCTCATCTAAAATCCCCAGGTACAAATAAAGAAGTTCTCCATCTACAGCTTTAGTTAACAGAGGCGATGAACTAAGATAAGACTTTAGTTCTTCAAATGCAGCTTGACATTCCTGGTTCCATTCAAACTTCTTGTGCTTTCCTGATTCGTCTTTCTGGGCGGCCGACCTCATAATTTTGAAAAACGGTAGACATTTATCTGCTGACTTTGATATGAACCGATGCAGAGCTGCCACCCTTCCAGTCAGCCTTTGTATATCCTTCACTGATTTTGGCGGTTCCATCTCGGCAATTGCTCTGATCTTCTCTGGATTGACCTCAATTCCCCTTCGGGACACCATGAAACCTAAAAATTTGCTGGACTCCACTCCGAAAATGCATTTGGCTGGATTTAACCGCATCATGTTCTTTCTGAGGTTGTTAAAGGTTTCGTCGAGGTCGGCGAGATGGTCTTCTGCTTTGAGGCTCTTTACCACAATGTTATCGACATATACTTCCAGGTTCTTGCCAATCTGGGCATGGAAGACAATGGTTACCATTTTCTGATAAGTAGCACCTGCATTCTTCAAGCCAAATGGCATCATGACATAACAATAAATTTCATCGCCAGCATAGAACGCAGTTTTCTCTTCGTCTTCTGGAGCCATTGGCACCTAATGATACCCCAAATATGCGTCCAAGAGGCTTAACCTCTCATTGCCTGAAGCCGCTTCAACTAGTTTGTCTATAATCGGCATTGGATAGCAATCCTTAGGGCAGGCGTTGTTAAGATTTGTATAATCAATGCACATTCGCCATTTGCCATTTGCCTTTTTCACTAGAACTGGGTTAGCCACCCATTCACAGTAATCAACTTTCCTGATAAAACCAGCCTGTAGGAGCTTTGTTACCTCCTCTTTAATAGCCTGAAGCCTCTCACCCCCGAAGAGA